CACACACACACACACACACACACACACACACACACACACACACACACAACCACACGCGCGCGCGCGTGGAGTGCAAGGGGGGCCTGCGGCCTCCCCTCCCGCATTCACCTTCGCCGGTAGGCAGCGTGGACCTCGCTTTACAACTTAAATTACAGTTAAGTTGTAAAGCAAAATTATAAAGCACATGCATAGGGGGTGCAGAAGAGGGCGAAGGCCCTCCCCCCGCCCACGCATATACTTTGATATATTATATAAGATATATTCATCATTGAAAGATAAGTGATATGCATTATAAGTATACATACGTTTCAAATTCGCGCACTTTTGCATGCGTGTGTGACTACGGAGCCTGCGCATCCCTGGCGGAAATATTTCTACAAAATTTAAAAAACTATAAAATATAATTGTCAGAATCTATTAAATTCTACAAGAATTTAAGAAGTACTACAAAATCCTACATGAAAATGCTATAACTGGAACACTTTTGTAAATTTTTGAAGTATTCTACAAGTAAGCAGATGTTTTAATTTTTTTAAATTTTGTTTCTTCTTAAATTTTTAAAATTTGTAGATTTTTGTACTGTTTTTTATAAATTGTTGTTTTTCATAAAATACTACTTGCAATAATTTCTTGATTTGAGAACATTGTAATTTGTGGTACTATTTCGTAGATATTTCTACAAAAAATAACCATTTCTACAAAAAATTAAATATTTCAACAAAAATGTACAAATTTCTATTTCTAGTTAAATTTTGTAGTTATTCATAGAAATTTTTTCCGCCAGGGATGTGCCGCATGTGCCCCCAGTCCAGAGCCCAGTGCTCGTACGGTTTTTCGATTTTTTCTATACGAAACCGCAAACCAACAAATTGTAGGACTGGGTAATTCGTGACCAACAAAAAATTACGCTTCGATTACACTCCTAAAAAATTAAAATCGTTGAAAAATAAGACTTTTGGGGCTAACTTCACGTTCAAAATTTTGTTTTTAATTTTCCAAAAACTGGGCAACCAACAAATTCTCTAATTAGTCCAACAAATTCCAACAAAATACCAACAATTATTTTGGACAAAAAAGTTTATAAAGTCAATGTGCTTGGACTAACTTCACATAATAGTGTGAAAATGCCACAACGCGATTGATGCAGCCATGACGCGATGTGGATGTTTTTGATTACATGCGTGAACTTTCCATGCGTGAAAAAACTCATTTTTAAAGTACGTATGTACATGCGTAGACTTTCCACGCGTGGAAAATTGTAAACGCATGTGGCAACTCGTCTCACGTGGAAAAGTGTATGGAGGCAGTAGGTGCCGCCCCCTTACAGGGGGTTCCACTACCGTTAAACTATATAATAGTATAATAGTATACCTTGCAAAGTACATATATGTATTTAAAAATACAAGTTTTGTCAAAAATATTTTCATAATTTTTCTTATGTTTTTAGACTCATTGCATTGAGGGAATAAAATTTAGTGACATTAGGGAAAAATTTTGTAAAATTATTTTTCCCAATTTAATATTATATTTTATATAGAAATATACAACGTGTGTACTATGTCATTATATAAGAAACTTATTTGAAAATCACTCTATTTCATCAAAATATACAAACGCTTTCTGGGATATTCTATATTGTACAATTCGATTGTTGTGATAAACATTGATACAAATCATTTGCAAGCGAAGTAATTTAATGAATTTATTTACAAAGTATAATAGAGCGCGCCATAAATAACAAAATTCTATTTTTTACGTATTTTCCAAGGACATCTCGTCAATGTAAACAATGTTTCATGATCATGATAATGCATTGGCACAAACATCGGGTATTTTTATACGCACTATAAACCTTTTTTCAGTCTGTTACATCTAATATTAAAATATCATCTGGAACATCTATGTATATCTATGTATATATAGAACATCTTTATATAGGGTATATCACCTAATTCCCGCTCACTATTTAATACAGCGATATATCAAAAATTGAGTCGAAAAGTCTTGAACCATTTTTTTCTATAATGCTTAGTAAAGCATTAATTATTGAGTGAAGTCAATCCAATCAACACTGTCTTTTAGCTGGGCGTAGGTCAGTGAGTCGCGCGCCTGGTAGTGTGCACTCACTCATACTACCAGGTGCACAGCTCACTGACGTACAGCCGGCTAAAAGATGGCATAATAGAAAGAAATGGCTCAGGACTTTTTGACTCAATTTTTGATATTCTATATCGCTGTGTGAATAGTGGGCGCGAATTAGGTGATACCCTATATACTACATCTATGTATACATATACAGAACAAATTCGATTTGCTAATAAAATATTAAGAACATTGGAATATTACATATTTTGAGTCATTATATTTTCAAAAATATAATGATTCTATTTATATAATATAAACTTATATTATAACTTCATATATAAGATTTCAAAATGTTTGGAAAATGGTATCTCTATTGGGCTATTCAAGAAAAATCACACTTTTAATCGTTCTAAAGTCAAAAGCATAATCATACAAAAGACAGATATAATCTGTTATTTTACAAGTCATGGACAATTTACTAATTTGTGACAATTTACAAGCATTAACATCGTAGTTTACAAATAGCAAAACATATACATCGTGCAATGTCATCTTTGCTAATATCTTAAGAATTTGATCCAAAGAAATAACAATTCACTTGGAACTGCATTTTGTCAGAGAATGACTTGGCTCGACCATTCTGATTTAATCGTCCTTTTCCAACAGAGGAATATTTGAATATTTGGGGAAATCTACGGCATCAACAGGATTTTTAACTTTGAAACTAGGAAATAATCCTGTCATGCTAGTTCTGATGTTGTAGCCCTTGGAGAAACCATCCCAATGATTACCAAAAACATCGATCAAGTCACCGGCTTTTAGCTCTAACTCTCCATTCTTCCTCGGCTTATGATCTAAAATAGCTACATGGGGATGTGGATTTTGTCCTCCATAATAATATATATCGTCGAGGGATGTAAATCTATCATACGCGTCTGCGTAAAAGGTTTGCATCAACTCATATGCGACGCGACATACTTGAGAACTGAACGTGCATACCAAGTAATCGCATTCCGACAGAAGGTGGATATCGATAATTATACCCTGTAACGAAGTATCCGAATATCGTTTTGCTACGGACGCCGTCTCGGCGATTTCTGGATCACCTATTATTTCGTAATTCGGATAACGTTTCCTAGATGTTGTTATCACTTTCGGATCGTCACTAGCTAAAAAGACTCTCTTCACGTCCGGCTTCGTTTCAAGTTGATCAAAATATTGTTCCACTTTAATCATATATTCATCTATGTCATGATAAGCTGCCTCGGTGCCTACTTTGTCTGTTCTACGCACATGAACACCGACGATAGGTTTTTTAAAACCAAGCTTCTCTTTCGCCTTCTCCAGCGTCCTCTTTACATGATCTTGAGGTCGCATTAAATATTTTAACACTTGTCCTACCCACCAAACTAGAGGATGACCGTGAATCTTCTCCAGTCTTGGCGCTAAGTCTGCAGGTACGCTGGGTGGCTGGGACCTTGGTTTAGGATAAACGTTGTCTACAATTGGCAGTGATATTACTTGTTTAGAGGAATCTCCAGGCCAATTAGAATGTGAAGTACCGGTTGTAGATAAACAAGTGTCGCTGAGGGGTTTAAAAACAGATTCCCAGCCATCTTTGTGATATCTCCACCCTTTAGATTTCATTACTAATGTTCTTTCTGTACCGTAAGCCACTAAAAAGCAGTACGTGATGTGATGAATCTGCAGAAAAAGAATACACTCATTTTATTTCATTATTTAACGACTTGATTATCATAATTTTATTTTCTTACCTGACAGCCAAAACCACAACCTTTATTTAAACTACATATCAGCTTCTTTGCCTTATTACAATCAGCAGGATTTTGTAGATACCTTTAAAGTAAATATAAGGTAGCTAGATTAGGTTAGCAAGACTAAAATAGCTTAATTTTGATATATTAAATATTTTAATAGATTATATCATATCGTGCAAGATGCATTACCTAAATCGTTTCTGAACTAGATCAGATAAATCTTTTGCTTCTTTTTCCCGCCATTCATCGTAACCATCTGCCTTCTTTAATTTATCGATATTTATTATAAGTGACTTTTTATGCTCCCATGCATTTTTCATCACATCCTGTATTTCCTTTTCTCTTTGATCATACGTGAATTCATCAATGTGCTTCTTGAACTTATTCAACTCGGCGCTAATGTAATACCTGTAATGTAAAACTAAGCACGTAATTTTTCATGTAACATGTTAAGCATAATTTGTTTTAATGTCTGATCCAGTTATTATCATATTTACCACATCTCCTGAACGTCGTTCCTCAATCGCCGTCGCAGTTCCTCATATTCTGAAGAGGGAACACCATGTTTTGATCCATCTTGATGATCTATCAGGTCATAATAGACCGACGCTTTCTCAAGCTTGTCTTGCACGGAGCCTAAGTGGTCGCCTTGTATAGATTTCGATCCCTCTCTGAAAATTATGTTAGTCTATACAACGAAAAGATCGTAGTACTCTGTTTCAAATTTTTTGCATTTTCAGTGTTGCTGAACTTTCCCATTTATTTTTTACATACATATATACATAATGTGCTGTACGCAAACATACCCTAATATAAAGTTCTTTAATGCATCGTTCTGCTTCTTTAGAATTTCAAAGTCGTTAACCATTTGTGTTAGGCGTTGAGTGTTCTCTTTGTTGGCAGTGTCAGTATCATGGCTTAACAACGAGTTGGACTTGAATATATGAACGATGGATATAATCAGTATCAAAAACCATGTGGCTAGCAATGCTATTCCGAGCTTCCCTAACCAACCAGGTCGTCCGGAACAAATCGCTGCCATTTTGAACAGATGGTTTCCGTTTGTGTCACATTACAGACACTGAAAATATAACAAATAACGTCAAATTAATGTAGTACATACACAAAAGAGATCCTTGATTTGTTTTCAAACTTTGTACACACAATTTTCACTCCAAGTAACTCCAATACTCTCGAATGACATACGCAGCTTATTGAATTTATCACGAATCACGATCCTACAGAGGTAAACACATATACGCGTCATGTAACGATTTTTAACACTTCAGAGTTCAGATATCTCGATTGTATCCTCGCGTTAATTCGCGTAGTGCTCTCGCCGAAACTGTAACTGCCGATTATCGTCGCAAAGCAGGGAAATCGGAAAATAAACGCGTGTCATCTCCTGACAGTCTTGACACAAACAAGCCACCGCTGCGCGGTACGGAGTGGCGTTAATTACTTTCGCTATATGCGATCGTTCCAGCCTCTGTACCTTTTTCGAGCTCATCTCTTGCCCGGTATGACATGCACGTATGTAATGTATGTATGTATATACACGAGTAGCGTGAACGGTGGTATCATGGTGTCTATTTACACCATGGGTGGTATAATAAATCGATGACAACTGTACGAGAGACGACGTGACGTACCGTTGCGAGATTGGAAGAAAGGTTAAGAATGTCAAGATAACCGAGATCGTCGCGAGACGAGCAATCTCCGACGGCGCAGATATAATATGCGGGATGCTCGGCACCGTCGTTGCGCGCGTGCCAACGTCATCCCACGTCATCCGAGTCCGCGGAAGCCCGAGTAGGATATCAATTATCGGTTTCGATCTTCGGCTTCCCCGTGCAATCCAGTCCAATCGCTTTTTCGCGTTTATGACGTTTACGTGTCGGCACTGTAGGCCGTTCGCTACGCGCTTCTCGCTAGATTTGTCCGATTGAATACAGAATACAGAATACAGTTCCCGTTGGAGTAGTAAAATCCCCTCCCACCCCGTAATTAAATCGATTCAATTTAACTATCTAAAATAAAGAATTTATTGTGAAATTAATGTTCACGATTTTATGGTTCTCTTTTGTGCTATGTCCACGACTTTGTGATATGTTCACAATTTTGTAGTACCTACTATTCCGTGTTATGTTCACGATTTTTTGGTTTTTTTTCCAAAGAGAATCGAAAAATTGTGGACATAGCACGGAAGAGAATCACTTATATTTCTTAGCTCCTTCCTCTTTCAGAGGACAATACGGTATACGGTTAATACGGTCTGTTTTGAGCGCTGCATCGCTTTGGATCGCTGATTGGGTGCGTTCAGCCGACACTCCGCTAGCCTAGCAATCGTGAGCAGTCGCTCGTTTCCTCTCCTTTTAATCCATTGGGTCAAAGGAGAGGAAACGAGCGAAACCTCTCCTTTTAATCCATTGGGTCAAAGGAAAGGAAACGAGCGAAAACGAGCGACTGCTCACGATTGCTAGGCTAGCGGAGTATCGGCTGAACGCACCCATTGGCCTAGTTTACACCGATCTCTTGATACGCGTATCAAATAGTATATTTGAACTGATCAGCCAATAATCAGACTTATTTACTAGTTATTTACTATTTAATACGCGTATCAAGTGATCGGTGTAAACTAGGCCATTGTGTAAAGGTAAAGGCCTTCACACACGAATCGACGGAAGACGTAAGACGTAAATTGTAAGGAAATCCACCAATCAGAGTCGACTATTCCCCTCTTTAAGATGGAAGAAAAGGGGAATAGTCGACTCTGATTAGTGGATTTCCTTACGATTTACGTCTTACGTCTTCCGTCGATTCGTGTGTCCGGGGCTTAAAGCGGGGAGAACACACTTCTGCATAACGCATAATGCGTAAGCATAAGAAAATTGATTGGTCCATACACATGTGCATAAGGAAATAGACCAATCAATTTCCTTATGCTTACGCATTATGCGTTGTGCAGAAGTGTGTGTGCTCCCCGTTTAAATCCAGACAAACTTGCATAGCGCATAAACATAAGCATAAGAGAATTGATTGGTCCATATGATCTATTTCCTTATGCACATGTGTATGGACCAATCAGTTTTCTTATGCTTACGTATTATGCGTTATGCAGAAGTGTGTGCTCCCCGCTTTTAGCCCCGGACACACACTTTTTCGTAACAGTAACAGTAGGATTTCGACCAATCGCGTTGCTCGATTCGAAAACGTACGGCCGTACGTTCCCGAATTGAGTAACACGATTGGTCGAAATCCTACTGTTACTGTTACGAAAAAGTGTGTGTGACCAGCTTAAGGCTGGTTTCACATGGGGCGTAAGATGCGTATGCGTAACTTGCGTCAGCCAATCAAATCGTCTCAGCTACTATACGCGTATGATACGATTAAATACTAAGACGATTTGATTGGCTGACGCAAGTTACGCATACGCATCTTACGCCCTATGTGAAACCAGCCTCACCCTTAGAGTTACAGAATCGGGGTACTGGACTACATATGTTGTTTTAATTGTGGCTAACTATATTGTACTAAATAAGTCCTTTGTTTTATTCGGATTTATTCTTATTTAAGTAACATTTTACGTAATTTTCTAAGATGACAAAAAAATGCTTGATATGTAAAATAGAAGCATCTCCTAATTCCATTCGTAGTTTTCACATGTAAGTATCTACATATTAATATTTCTAACCTCAAAATTTAATTAATTATATATATTTAATAAAAGTTATTTCAAATATATTTAATAAATTATAATTTTCAATATAAACAGGTTTCCCAAAAATGAATTATTAAGAAAAAAATGGATGGATGCTATAAATTTATCAACAACTCCAAACTTCAAAACTACATATATATGCAGCGACCACTTTGATGACAAATTTTTTCATTATTCTGATGAATTAAGAAGCAGAAAACGACTACGACCAGAAGCTGTTCCTGAAAACATAAATTTACATCAATCTTATTTGTTAACAGAGAATGTTGCCAAAGAGGCAGTAACGGATAGAGTATTAGTTAGCAGTATTAATAAACCTGAAAATAATATATTAAAAGAGAAAAATTTAGAATTAAATAAAGATTGTGATAAAGAGACTAAGATATGTGGAGAAAAAATGCCTGTGAATTGTTTTGATAAAGGCTCTTTAAACGAGCAAATTTGTTCACATAAACTAAATAATAGTAGTGTAAGCAATGACTCAAACAGTAAAAAAAGGTAATTAATTCTCTTTTACAGTAATAATAAAGTATATATGTGAATTATCATACATATAATATAGATAATATTATTACAAAATATTACAATATAAATACTTAATATTTTTATTTTCAAAATGCAATTACATTATATATAAATTAAAAGAATTAAAATTTTAGGAAAAATGTATTTACGCAGAACAAAGCTGTAAAAAGAGTTCGTTTTATGAATGGTTTTAAAACAGAATATATATTTCGAGAAGACTTCGTTTCTGATGAAGCTTGGAATCGATTCTTAAGATTCACAACTTATAAAAAATCGAAAATGGCAGCTGCACATAACAAAAACTCACGCAAAGGAAAAAAAATAAAAAATTTAAAAGTTTTGATAAAAGAGAAGAAAAAAGAGAAGAAACACTCCTTGTGAAGTAAAATTTACTTCCACTCAAGTTAATGTTTTTCTGCAAAATAACAAATATCATATCTTTGAACATAATTACAGTAAAAGTGAAAGTTGGTATTCTCCTGAATACGCAGAAGAAATCATTAAACATACAGCTGGTTCAATTTTTCATATTTTAAAACGTAAAATTCACTGTAAAAAGTGCTGTGAACTATTACCTACTATTAGATGGAGCCAATAGTACTTTTAAATCTAAATTAACAATTTTAAAAAATCGTGGAGGCTTGAATTTTGTATCTGATGATGTGAATTTCATTTGCAAATGTATAGAAAAAATCATAAGTACGTTAATGTAAAAATTTATTAGCTAAAAACATAAATACAGTATTAATTACTAAAACATTTGAAATTTTTCCAAGTACAATTTTTGATAATAATAAACATTATCTCGAGCAAGACCTTTTTATAGACCACCGTAATCAATTAATTTTACTTATAATACAAAACCATATAGATATTCGTTTAAAACACGGATGTACATATTATATTGTTTGTACTAAAATTTTTGTGTCAAATAATAAAAGACTGATTTATTTAACTATTTCATATATAATTAACTAACATTGTATAAATATGTAATAAATTTCTTTTATTATTATATATATTGAGTATATTTATATACAATTCCATATTCAATTCCATATTTAAAAAATTAGAAACTTGCATATTGCTTCCTCATCATTACAGATCGCTACCATTGCTCCTATTTTATTTCGCTCACAAAGCTCCTATTATGAAGAAGATTGTATTTTATTCGATGCATAATTATTTATAGTATTTATTAGTTTGGCTTCCTCATAGAGGAAGCAATGTGAAAGTTTCTAATTTGCACATTTTTTTTAATTTTAAATGTAATTTTTTTATGAACTGATAGAGGGTTAGCTTAGTAGCATAAGTGGGTTTTACAATCGATGCAATGTCAAATCGATTTTGACTTTGGGAGTTCAGGTTACATGGTCCATATATGGACTTCGCATATGGACCGGAAATAAGTTGGCGCTGCAAGTTCATATTTTTTAATGAACTATAGCTCAAACGATTGCTCCCTAATTGCTTCCTCAGAATCAACAATTGCTCCCCTTTTAAAATTATTATTTTTTGAGATATTTAATAAAAACAAAAAATTTCTCATTTTTATTGAAAAACATATTTATAATAACTCTATGCAACTAAATCCGGCATAGAACGATTGCTCCTTCATTGCTCCTTATTGCTCCATCATAATTTTAATTATTTATTGCATTTTTATTGAAAAATTAACAAATTAATCATTTCACAAGTAACGCGCCGCCGCCGCCGCCACTATCGGCCGCCTATTGTAACTATGGCTCGGCAGCCTTTGGCGGAAATATTCAAACGTAATATAATAGCTCTATTGTTCATAACTATATCTCAAAGAGTTTAGTTAACATTTTTTATTTATTTTCGGTAGAATAACTATTTCTCGCTTCGCTCTATTGGGATTTTCAATCGCTCCATTCATATAATTAATTTTGTATGATATTTTAGCAAAGAAACTGTTTATTTTCTTGGAAAAATACATTTCTCACAGTCTTCTGCAAGTATATCCAACATAAAACGATTGTTCCTTAATTGCCCACCTGTCAGCATTGTGCATGAGCCCTTATTGACGTTAGGCTGAGTTTCCACTGTGCGCGTCACGCGTCGCGTCATCTGTCGTTAAAGCCCCTTGCACAATGCCAGGCAACAGGCAATAGGAACAAAGAATAGAAATCAGAAATCATGTATAAATGCAGAATAAACAGTGACACAGGCAATAGACACAGAGTTTCCGTCACGTTGGAAATTTTGTGCCTATTGCCTGTTATCAACCAATCATAGCATTCGAACTTTTTAGGTTGTAATTAACGATTTTTTGGTTATTTCCTGTTTCTATTGCCTGTTGTCTGGCATTGTGCAAGGGGCTTAACAAATCTAAACATCCCATTACAAATAATGTAATAAAATAAGATGTTTTGATTGGTCGCGACGGATAACGCGATGCGTGACGCGCTCAGTGGAAACTCAGCCTTAGTGCCCATCTACAATAAGTGTTTTATGCTCTAAGCCTTAAGAAATTGTTCAATCACAATTAAATTTGAGGAGAATAAATTGACTGTGATTGGTAAATTTCTTAGGGTTTAGGGCTTAAAACACCTATTGTAGATGGGCATTTAAGCCGACGAATAGAGCGATTGAAAATCCCAATAGAGCGAAGCGAGAAATAGTTATTCTACCGAAAATCAATAAAAAATGTTGACTAAACTCTTTGAGATATAGTTATGAACAATAGAGCTATTATATTACGTTTGAATATTTCCGCCAATGGCTGCCGAGCTATAGTTACAATAGGCAGCCGATAGTGGCGGCGGCGGCGTTACTTGTGAAATGATTAATTTGTTAATTTTTCAATAAAAAATGCAATAAATCATTAAAATTATGATGGAGCAATAAGAAGCAATGAAGGAGCAATCGTTCTATGCCGGATTTAGTTGCATAGAGTTATTATAAATATGTTTTTCAATAAAAATTAGGAATTTTTCGTTTTTATTAAATATCTCAAAAAATAATAATTTTAAAAAGGGAGCAATTGTTGTTCTGAGGGAGCAATTAAGGAGCAATCGTTTGAGCTATAGTTCATTAAAAAATATGAACTTGCAGCGCCAACTTATTTCCGGTCGCATATGGACCTTTAATTGCGTATAAAGTTGGGTCTAATTAACCAAATCTTAAAGAATTATATATGAAATAGGGGTAAAAAAGACTGACGAATATAATAAAATTATAAATAGCCCAATATCTTGAAATTGGCGGAAGTTAGAGCAACCATGAACATTTTTCAAAAAATTCAAAATTTTATAAAGAAAGAACCCTTTTACCGATTATCGCCAAATTCAATACCAACCTTCTTTTAATGATACTCTTTAATTGATATAAAAAATTACATGTATAACTTATACATGTAACTTTTTAAGCAGAAATCGGTAATCCCTTCACCGATCCTCGCCAAATTCAATAACAATCTTTAATGATCGATACTCTATCCATCAAATAACTTTAGGGTAGACCGAGGCGAATCGGATCAATATAAGTTTCAAGACTGTTTTCGTTAGTGTTTTGTTTCAAACGAGCTGTTTTATCGTACTAATTACTAATTAGCACGATAAAACAGCTCGGTTGAAACACAACAACAAACACTGTCTTAGGGCGGTATTTATAGTCGGATCTTATATCTAAGATTGTCTTATGGTGCGTCTCCACCTGCGAGTAAGAACTCTCGAGAGCAAAAAGAAAGAGAGAAAGAGAAAGACTCTCGAGAGTCTTTCTCTCTTTCTCTCTTTTTGCTCTCGAGAGTTCTTACTCGCAGGTGGACACGCACCATTAAGTCTGGTCTAAAGCAGTCTTAAGACTCCGTCCAGCCAATCAAATGACCGTATTAGCAACTTAAGACATTACTTAAGACGGTCTTGAAATAAGATCCGACTATGAATACCGCCCTTAAAACTTATAAGTTCAATATATTGATCCGATTCGCCTTGGTCTACCCTATACATTTTTTAGGCCTATACATCACCGATTCTCGCCAAATTCAAAATAACCTTTCTTTAATAATACCCTATATATAAGATTACATGTATAACTTGTACAGTTTTTAGGCAAAAATCGGTAACCCCTTCACCGATTATTGCCAAATTCAACAATGATACTCTATCCATAAAAAAAATTTAGCTCGATATCTCAAAATTTGCGGAAATTAGAGTAATTATGTAGATTTTTTTAGATAGAAATCGATAATCCCTTTATTATTAGCAATTTTTCTAATCTATATATATAAAGGAAGATGTCCTGACTGACTGACTGACTGACTGACTCATCAACGCCCAGCCCAAACCCCTGAACCGAATTTTTACCAAAAGTATATGAAATAGAGGTAGAATTTTCCGGGGAGTGCCACTATGTGTATAGTTTTTTGTTACCAATTTTCTGGAAACCGGTTTTTCTAATTCTTCTAATTTTTCAGGAAATAATTGACCGAATTTTAAAGAATTGTATATGAAGTAGGGGTAGAATATATTTTACGGGATAATGTGTATAGTTTTTGTTACCGATCTTTTTGGAAACCGGTTTTTTTAATTTTTCGGGAAATAATTGAATGAATCTGAAATTATTATACATGAAGTAGGGATAGCATTTCCCGGGGAGTGCTATAAGGTGTACTATTTTTTGTTACCGATTTTTTTGGAAATCGGTTCCGAATGATTGAATCTCAAAGAATTGTACATAAAGTAGGGGTAGAATTTCCCGGGGAGTGCTATAAAGTAAATAATTTTTCGTTACCGATCTTTTTGGGAATCAATATCAGAAGTTTTTCGAATTTTTCGGGAAATAATTGATCGAATTTTAACGAATTGTATATAAAATAGGGGTAGAATTTCCCGGGGAGTGCTATAAACTGTATAGTTTTTTGTTACCGATCTTTTTGGGAACCGGTATTTTTTTGGAAATTGGTTACAAAATTTTTCCAATTTTTTAGGAAATAATTGAGTGAATCTCAAAGAATTGTATAAGACAGAATTGAACTTCAGTCGATAAAAAAGTAATATTTTTCAATTTATAGTTTGGACGAAACGTCGTCCGATTAAATAATTGCTAAGATTTTTTTGTTGTTTTTTTTGTTGTTATTTATTTTATTAGAACATATTTAATTATTTTTGAACATTACAACATTTTTGCATAATATTTCTTGCTTCACAAAATTATTTTCCGTGTCGTCCTCGTTTTCGTCCTCGTTCTCCACGCTGCACTCTGCTATAATGGATCCAGATGATTCCGTCTGCGTTGATGAATCCTGTTTTTTCCCGATGTTCCGTCTGCGTCGAGGAATCTGGATTCTCCTGCTGTAATGTCTGTGTCCCTTCAGTAGTCCTGGATGGGTGATAACGAAGGCGGAGAGATGAGGGGTGGAAGAACCCACGGATTCTTCGGCGTAGACCCTCCTGATTCTGGCGTCGACGTCCCGATTTCAAATGGCCGTTTTCTCTTTGGCGTTGTTGATTCCACCGGGATTGGGCGACTTGCGCCGAGGATTGGCAAATGGCCGGTGGGGCGACCGGCGCCGAAAGTCGGCGTTAAGCCGGGGGACGAGCGACTAGCGCAGGAAGTCGAAGAGCGAAGCGCTAAGAGTCGGCAGAGCGACGGAGACTGGGCGACTGGCGCCGGGAGCAGGGCGCTTTGCGCCGGCAGACGACGGCTTGGAGCCGTGAGCCAGGCGTCCTGCGCCGGAAGCTGAGCGACTAGCGCCTGGAGGAAGCGGCTTAGCGCCTTTCACTGGGCGACTAGCGCCTGGGGCTGCGACGGGCGCAACCACCTTCTTCTTGACTGCGAAAATCTGATCAAGAGGAAGAAGGCGAGTCTTGCGCCTCTTGGTGATTCCTTCCTCGTAAGAACGAGGAGGATTCTTGTTATCCAAAAGACGAGGCGTTTTGACCTGTATATGTATCGCCAGGACAATTCGCCGAATCGCCGAATTTCCTCGAA